ATCCAGGTTAAGCTGAGGAATTCCCATATGATAGTGTATGAGGTGAGACACTGCAAATATAAAGACATTAATGTGAAAATCAGATCAAAATTAAAAATAAGAATGCAATGATTTGGGTATGTGTATTCCAAAAGGAATACTTTAAAGTTAACATAAGAATGTTTTAAATTTAGATTTAGATTCATCTGCCTTGAAAGCTCCATTTAGCCTGGAAAATACTATTTTATTAGGGTTTAATATAATATTCTTTGTAACAACAAGAACTTAAACTGTCAATGATAACTGTGGTAGCTGGATGTGCCTATAAGCAAGAGGTTCATGGAGAATTTGAACAGAAAAATATAAAAAGTGAAATTCCTAAAGGTAATGCAGTATGTTACATTGCAGTAATTTCTAGATTACCCCTTTGTTGAGTATGTTAAACCTGAAGAAACATCAAATATTAAACATGAGATATTAAAATATTTTTATGACAATTGTTTCATGTAAATGGGATACTACTGCTACTTTTTTTCTTTTCAAGTAAACATGTTTTCCACAATGGAATTCATCTTATGTCCTGTCTCCCATGTGTTGGGGGTAAGAAAAGAAAGAAAGGAAGACAAAACAGAAAGATGAACACATTTTCTTTAGTTTTCAAAGTACCATGAAAACACCAAGAAAATCAAGTATGGGTAATACTGTTCACAAATTCAGGTACAAATTGCTCTAATATGTGAGTGCTTCTTAAACCAGTAATATCTGCTATCAAAAGATATCTGTGAGACTAAAATGTGCATGCAGACAAGCTAAATTTAGAAAATTTAGGACAAAGATGAAGTAAGCCTATTATAATGTTCTCCACTATGCCAAAAAAATAATTTGCACAATCATCCAGAATCACAGGGAAGTAACAGAGTGAATGTATGTAATTGATCTCAGATATAGTTTATTCATGCCCAATCTTTAGTTTTTCAAAAGTCCATTTTGCTTGCTGTTGAAATCCTATTGCTTCTGTAGCTATATTGATTCAGCAATGATAATAACTACTAATATTGATGGCTGCTTAGGCTCTGAGATGTCTGCTAGGCTCATCAATTATGTCATGTAGTCCTCCTAGCAACTAGAGAAGATAAATACTGTTATTATTTTACTTTTAAGGTGAGAAAAGTGAGGCTCGAAGAGTTTATGTAACTTAGTGAAGGTTTACAGTTGGTAAATCATAGAGAATATAAATCCAGGTAATCTGGCACCAGATTATTCACCCTCAGACATTATGCATTATTAATTAAAATACATGACAAATAAACTTAAACATTAGATGACTGTAATTTGACTGATGAGATTATAAAATAAATTTTTAGAAATTTGATTATATACACATTTGCAGATAGAGAGATAATTATCAACTCTCTAACTGAAATTTTAGAATATTTTATATTCACACACTATATACAATTAGTACATAGTGTGTCATATTTTCTATGTAATATATGAACATACTAAATAAAATATGTTATAAATCATGTTAAGTAGTATATTCATTAGAAAGATTGCCTTTTGCAATTTAATATAGTGGTTTAGCATAAAGACCCAGGAGACTGCCTGACTGCCTGGGTACAGACTTCAAGTCTACTTTCCTCCTACCTACCTTGTAGCCAAATAGTGTTGACAAGTCATTTCACTACTCTGTCCGTTTTCCTCATGTGTTAAAGACATATATCTACCTTAATGGCTTGTTAGGGTCAGTGGTTTAGAAAAGTACCTGGTACATGGTAAGTGTATACAGGGAGTAGCCTCTACATTTTCCAAAAGCTTGCATCTTTGGCACAAGTAGTGCTACATCAATAGAGCCCAATTCGAGTCCTTTCATGATGTTTTTTACATTATCTTCTCTTTTAAATTACTTCAGATTGAGAAATTCCAGTGCTGTCACTGAAATCTCATTCCAAACCACAGTATCCATTCACCTGACATTAAGGATATTTTGTTATTTCAGATGGCAATGTGAACTCAACAATGAAAATCATAATGCTTTAAAAATTACATTTAAAATATTTTTAGAACAATATATATAATGTACTTGGAATATTGAAGGTGTACTCTCATGAATGATTATTAAATCAAGGTGAAATTTGCCTATTAAAGGCCAGAACTGTCCAAAAAGCAGCCAAACAACCAATTTATTGTTCAAAGTAAGATAATTGAAATAACAGAAGCAAAATTTGAAAGGAAACTTTTCTAAGGGATAAAGTATAATTTGGGGGGATGTAATTGTCATATTTGGGATGTGAGGTTACACAATTCATATTCAGGGACAGTGAAAACAGAACTTTGGCACTTATGTTGGTTTTTATGTAATTGTCAGGTTTCAGTGCGGAATTTGACAGAATGAATAAACAGCAGTCAAATCTCTCACTTCCCCACTGCTTCCTCCAACTCCCATTCGCTGCTTGTAGATATAGGTGTAAGTATGAGAAAACTGTTTATGTTCAAAAAATTTTTCTGACACAATTCCAGATCACATATTTACTATAAAAAGGGGGGACAATGGCAACTTGAAAGTAGTTAAGAATATTTTCACTGCCATTCTAAGAGAATGGAGCTTTTTGTTTGTGAAATATGTGAAAAATGTTGCATATACAAGATACTATTCATAAAGCTGTTCTTTCCCCTTGTTTGTCATAAGTTTGGTAATCACCATACTAGATACCAGGAAGGGCCAGACAATTGTCATAAATCACTTGATGTTCAATCTCCTGATCTAGTTGAGTCTTTCTACTCCTAACAGAGCTAGCACAATGACTTTAACAGAAGTCAGCATATTTACCAAATATTCCAGTTTCCCTTGATAAAAATTCCTGGAGTCTATCCTAGGATGAGTGGAGAGAAAAGTTTCTGGGAAAAAAGGCCTCCCTAGCTAGTCAAGAAATTGATGTTCTCAAAATTCCCCCAGGCTTCTGCGGGAGGTTTCAAAGTTTAAGTTTCAAAGCATAAGTTTCTGCTTAAGTTTTAAAGTCAAACAAACATATAGAAAATTTAATCATGTAATTCAATTTTCTTGCTTGGCTTCTCAACTGAGGTTGAAGAGGAAAATCCAGTAAATAAGATAATTGATCTCACAGACAAAACCAGAATTTGAGCAATTTTCTTTAACAATTCATTCCCAAGCAGGTAATTCCTAATACTCATATTCTTGTACTTTATTTAAATTTGAGAGTGATATCTGTTTTGTGCAGAAAGAAATTAAACAAACCATCAGAAGAAATAAAAGAGAGACTAAATTCTTTGAGCTATACGATCACTAAGTAGATGAAGTATGGATTACTGTATGTTGTTAACTAGAAACAACTTCAAGCTTTTAGAAAGAACAATCATATAACTTACCAAAAACAAACAAACAAAAAACTGAGAAAGTAGGCATAAAATGGGACAGTTAATTTGTTTCCAGCAAATCAGAAAAGATGATCATTCTACCTAAAGCTATATAGAGTGTATACAACAAAATTCTAAGAGTGATTTGCTAAAGATAGTAAATTAAACTGTTGGATGAGAAATTTCAGAAATTCTCAAATGGTGTAGAAAATCTTAACTGGTAGTTCCCTGTTGGTCTCTAGTTGGTCCTTGGGTTTTTGTTTTGTTTTAATTTTTTGTTTTGTTTTGTTTTGTTTTATGTCTATTTACTGTTGCTATTTTTGTTTGGAAGTGTTTTGTTTTCAGTTTGCTTTATTTTTGTTTCATTTTCGTGTGTGTATCTGTGTCTTTGAGTGTTGAGAGAAAACAGTAACAGTCTGGCTGCTTTTGTTGAGGGCCAGAGGATTTTGATTCTAGCATATATTACAAGGGCACATGGTGTAAATTTTAGTATTATACATCCTGAAGACAGTTCCACTCATTAATAACAGCACTTGCATTTAGTCAGTCAGGACTCATACACTTTGAGAAGGTGGTTTTTAGCACAGCAGAGAAATCTTTTTCAAAAAGCAACATTCCAAATATGCCACTTGTAAATTCATAACACACGGCGATTTCTCTTTTCCTTTAGAACACCCATTTTCCACAAGGCTATTTCTTGGTCCCTGCCTGTAACTTCAGCCTCAGGTCCTATGTTCTTCACCCTAGTTTTATTCAGATCAGTGGTTAACTCTGATGTTGCCAAAGGACATTTCTCAATGTCTGGAGACATTTTCTTAGTTGTCATACTGGGGTGGAGGAGTGCGGTTGGGGAATGCTACTGACATCTAGTGGGTAGAGGTCGGGAATGTCGCCACACAAGTACAGGGCAGTCCTTACCACAAAGAACCATATGGACCAAAATGTTAACAGTACAAATGCTGAGAAACTCTCAAATAGACATGCTCTTCTTTCCCTCTCCTTTCCTTTCCTTTTCTTCCACTCCCCCTCCCCAAACTTTGATTCACCCTTTTAATCATCACATTCTTATAATGGCTTTCTGCTTTTTCTTCTCTCTTAAGTATCACCTCCTTTTCAAAGAATTGGGAAGCATTTATTAGCGACAACTTTAAACGCACTTGTGTGGTTTGACTACCCCTCCCCACCAACTCCAGGTACGCAGCACTGTCGAGCTCGTATTCATCACGTCTCCCCCGGCACGTAGTTGTCACGCAACGTTGTGCTCAAAGCAATTAAATGAACATTTAACAACCTCGCCAATAGAAAGACAGCAACCATCTCATCGAGTTGCAAAAATCAGATAATACATATAAACTCCTTAGCACAGAGTTTGAGTCACAATCATTCCAAAAATCGTGGTTCTGTGATTTGTAAACAAGAGACGAATTGGCGTTTCATTTTTGCGCTCGCAAGCGTCTGATCTGGAGAATTCTCCTCCCAACGACTAGTAACAACGGTAGCGCCCGCGCCTCCGGGTCGCCAGGGCTAACGGGTGCCGGAAATACTTTCCCTCCTCCCATTGGCCCGCCCTTGGTTGGTCAGTACTACACATGCGCCAAACCAGGTTCTCAGCCTCCACCACTGGTAAGCTCTCTTAGCCCCGTTTTTGCGAAGACGCATGCGCGAACTGGCCTGCCCCGGAAGCAGTTCTTTGGCCCTGTGACACGTAGCAACTGGGGCAGTTCAGGGTCTAGAATTGAGTTTGGGGGTGGTTTGGGAGTTCTGGACCTACTTACACCGCCGCTACCAGCAGCTCCGTGTTTGGTGAGTGTCCCGGGTCCTTGCGGCTGCTCGGCTTCTCTGTACACCTGTGCGGTTTCTGTTTGTTGCTGTCTTTCGGTGCCGCTCCCTGGGCCTTTGGCTCAGAACCTTCCTCCTGTGTAGACCCTTGCGGTGTTGCGGACCCCAGCTCCCCAGACGCGGCCTTTCAGTCTGCACTTTTCTGGCAGGTTTCGGGCTATATTTTGCAAGGTCGTAGATTTGTTGTCATCTGTAACCCCCTGATCAGAGGTGAGGAATCACCTTTGTTGTCTTATTTTAGAACACGGTGGTGAAGCCGCTCCTGTCAAGACCCTGCCCCCGCACCCAATGTATAGCAGCTCCTGGAAGAGGAGATTTCTTTCAGTCTTTGTCTTAGAGCCTGGACATTTTCCTAATATCCCCTTCTCCCCTCCATACTGTCCTTCAAAATTCAAAAAGAAATGTTTGTTGCTTTGTGGGGCTGTTTGCTTAAGCAGTTATCAGGAACAAATTCTGTAACACTTTGTGCACAGGCACTATTTGCTGTTTTTCTTCTTTTTCAGATAATTTGCAATGTCAGGATTTGATAATTTAAATACGGATTTCTACCAGACAAGTTACAGCATTGATGACCAATCACAGCAATCCTATGATTATGGAGGAAGCGGAGGACCCTATAACAAGTAATTTTTCAACTTTTGCAGGTTTTATATTTTTTTTTTCTGTCAGATTATAGTGAAAGTATGTGCCCAGAATGTTGTTTCTGCCTGAAACGAAATGTGTGAACATGCCCTTATGAGAAATATGATTTTTCATAATTTCCTTTCCCAGGAGTGACTTGTGAAATTGACTTGGGATTAAAGACATTGACCTAATTGCACAAACTTCAGGTGGACGAGGAATAAAAACATAGCTTGTTAAGGAAGATTCTTTGCTGTGAACAGTATTTTCACATCACTTAAAATACAGATGGGAGCTTCAGAATCCAGAGGATAGTTTAGTTCATGGAACCAGTTAAAACTGAAATCTATTCATGGTTTGTTTAATAGTTAAATCTTTCCACTTTCAGACTTTATCGAAGTTAATTGAAGGTGCTTAATGACACTGTTTAACAGCATAAAGTACCTTTTATGAATTGAGAGATAATTTCCATATAATAAGTGATAATTGTTTTTATTACTTCCCATTCTAAAACCTATGGTCAGTACATGCAAGTTGCCATTTACAGATTGAAGAGGGGAACTGAAAACCTTTGGCCCAGACTTAAACACAAAAAGTACATGAACTGAAACTTGCTGTGGATCTTAGGGTCTTAGATATAATTTTTTTCCGACTCTCCCATCCAGTGAAAGAGTTTCCTGTACACGGTTGCCTAACCTTTTTTTAGATGGCTCAGGATTCCTTTGAAACTTAAGAAAACTATGGGCCTATTTCCAAGAAGTATATTAATAAATATCCACATCAAGGTGTTTATAATTATAGTAACTTCTGATATTCATCTGTGACTGTGAATTAAAAATCTCATGAAGACTATCCCAGGATGAAGACAAGGAAAGGTTGTGTCACCATGTATTCTGAGAGAATCATGGCAGTATTAATAGGTGTTCAAATTATTAAATCTGAATGAAAGTGCCCAAAATATAAATAACAAAGAAAAAAATCAAATTCAGCCTCACAATATGGTCTGTCTTGATGATTATACTTTTTACAACCTACTTGAATGTACTTAATGTAATAATATTCTAAGGTTTTTGCTCTAAAGCTTTACATATTGAACAGTTGGGAGTGAACATATCAAAATTTCCCCGTTTATGAATCACTTTTTTCTTTTCTGTTAAATTCTCAATTATTTCCGTTGAGGATATCTTTCTTTTGATTAGTTAAGTGTATAGAATTGGAAAAATCATCTTGAGAATTTTCCATTCATTTATTTACCTAAGCACATATTTTTGTGGTGGTTTTGAGTATGAACAGGAAAATGAATTTGAGATTGGCCAGAGACCATCTAAAGAATCCTTGCCTATAATAGCAACAGAACTTTGGAAAACCTCTTTCTTCAGGCAGCCTGTTTTTAGCGCATTATCTTGATGGTTGGGCTCAACAGATCTGTTCCACTTAAGAACCTCCAAAGTTTAGGAGGTTCTTGTCCATCCCATGTTGTATCAGTTAAAGATGTGACTTAACTTTTTATTCTGTCAATACTTATGTAAGTTTTCCACAGAGCAGTTGTTTAGATATTCCATTGCTTATTCTCACAGTTTCAACAAAATCATGTATCAGTAAGCACTGTTTCAGTACTGATAAATTCACTTTATTTCAGGTGTTTATAGGTAGTCATCACTGCTACTAAACAAATACGAATACATACTTAAGGAACCTAATATATTAACATTTTGGGTTTTCAAGCTTTATAAAACAGTTCTAGTTCTCTGTGAACTGCCAATTAAATCTGTAACTTGATATTTTAAATGTCATCTCAAATATTTTGCTTGTTTTGCTAACTTGATAAAGATCAGCTGATAATTTTCAACTCACTATTGATAAAAATTTAGATTTAAACAGCATATATTACTTGGATTCTGTTCGAGTTGACTTATCATTAGTTCATAGTTATAGATTTGCCCTGTGAAATCTTTTTTAACATTTTGCAGTTTCCTCCATGGTATTTCACAAGTACCACTCATACATTCATAGAAGGAAAAAAAGGCCCAAAGTAAAAGGTTTCTCTGGTTTTATTCTGTTGAATTTCATTTTTAGAAAGCTTCCTCATTGTATTCTAGATATGCCTATATGTGTGTGTGTGTGTATCTATATTACATATAGATACAGATACATAGTAATACTACATATTTTTCAGAGTATTAAAGGTTTTTAATTATTTGACTTTGACTTAACTGGTGATATCTCTGTGGAATGGCTAAGGATTTCAGGACTTAAAGTCAGTATGTTAAAAGGCTGCCTTTGTTGTTGGTATTGCATGTTCCAGAGTATTGGTTTTCTATTTGCTACTTTTCTTGCTTTAAAAAAAATCATTTTCATCCATAAAGAGCATGGCTCCCACAATTATGCTTTAGTTTAAAGCTAAGGAGAATGAGTCAAGACTTTCCCTAATCAGGTCCTTCCAGAAAAGGAAAATAGTAATATTCCATGATACTGTTTCTCACTTTCCTTTACATGAAGGAATGATAGTGCCACCTTTGAAGCCGCCATTTCCTTGCATTTTTTCTCTCCATTACATGATATTTACAGATTTACACAGCAGTTTTAAAATGTAGAACGCATATCCCAGAGTCCCTGTGATCTTTCATGGAATATTTATGGTCAAAACTATTTTTGTAACAATTCTAACATGTTACACATCTTTTTAGTTGTGTTAACATTTGCAATGATGTTATACAAAGGATGATTGGTAAAATTGCTGGTATCCAAGTATGAGTCACTGAGGTGGCCACAAACTGTTGCAGTGATCAGTGTATTATTCATCACTTCAAAATAAAGGGAACCAGTTTCTCTTAAGGATGTCCTTGATGAAGCAGTAGAGATTAAGTTTTATTAAATCTTGAGCCTTGAATACACACATTTAAAATATTCTGCATGGCAAAGTGGGAAATAGTTATAAAGCTTCTCTTTCTACTAAAGCACAGTGATTAGCAGTTGGTTCACAAGCTGAGTTAGATGCTTTTTCATGGAAACCATTTTTAGAAAGAACAATTGACCAACTATGGCTGTTCAAAATTGAGTATTTGGCTGCCATTTTCTCAAAACTGACTGGGGTGAACCTGTGACTTCGGTGCATACTATGTGTGACTAATGATCAAATTCAAGTTTTTAGGCAAAAATGAGGATTTTGGAAACCTTGTATCCATCATAGTATCCTTATTATCTTGCAGGTAATTAACCATTTATTCTGATGAAATCAGTGGTGATGTTAAATGTGATCTTTTAAATATTTACATTTTTTTATATTAAGTATGTCAATATTTGAAGGATCTACAGATTTCAAATACAGTATTTTCTAAATGCCCAGTACATGGTGTTACAAAAATCATGCATGAGTAAAGAAAGGATCCATTCAGATTGTTATAAAGGTTTATCAGTATTGTTTCAATATCCAAGTTACAAATTAAATTTAAAATTATTTTTTCTATAGGTTTTCTTTCATGTATTATAAAGAATATTCATGGTAATCTCAAAAAGTTATAAAAATATTTTCTAATTATATGTATGCAATACTAGGTTTTCTTTAGATAACTACAGATAACTACAAATTAAAGTAGTTAATTTTCAAATGTAGAAGCAAACATTATTTTTTTTTAAAGATTTATTTATTTATTCATACAGAACTGGGGTACAGGCCAGAGATGCGGAGGGTGAGAGGATTCACCAGAGACAGAGGGAGGAGCAGAACAGTCAGATCGATGAAGTACACTGCTGAGGGGAGCAGTGGGTGGGTCAGGAGAGGTTGCCACGCCATGTGGAGCTCCTCTGGGGCAGGCGGGAATCAAACTCATGCGGAAGTGGCTTAAGCTTCTTAGTGCAGTGCTTGAACCCACTGAGCCACCAGGGAGGGCCACAAACATTATTTTTAACTGCCTTCTATTAAAGCAACATAAATGAGGTTGTCAAAAATATAATTCAGTGCCCACTTTTCTCAATAACTAAAAAAAATTTTCATAAAATGTTTATGATAATGTGGTAGATTTATTGTTACTTAAGTTAATTAGTATTTTAAATTTAAGCATAGTTCAGTTTTAATTTCTAGTGTAACTACTGAAAGTTATGACCCACATAAACAAACATATTTAAATAATAAACATATTTAAATAAGTAACAAATAAGAGTATGAGGCAGTCCTAATTCCAAAATGTTTAAGTACCTCTGGTATATATGTTATTTTTTCCACATTGCATACACATTCATACTCACTTTCTTCTCTCACAGAGAGAAAATAAAATACAATCTGTTTACACAGATTGTAGAAGCCTCCGTATGGAGATTTTCTGTTTGGTAGATTTGGAGGTAGATTCATAATACATTCTAGAAGAGATCAACACAATAGCATGTTGTCCTAATTCAACCAGTTTCCCTTGTGGTCTGTGTGTGCAAGTAAATAGAAATCAACAACTAGTTTCCATATCTTTATAATGAAAAAAAAAAAGGATAAAATTAACTTTACAGAGTTGAAAAGGAGTTAAGAATGAAGTAAGTCACACTAAACATTTATAACAGTGCCGTACAAATTAATGTTAAAAAGATTATACTGAATGCTTTTGGAAATTTTCAGTAGTTAAGTGTACCTATATATTCACACAACATTTTACAGTTAATTTCAGTAAATAATAAATATATTTTTAAGTTTATAATGTGAAAATTAAATCATCTGCCTCCCCATAGTCCAGATTGCTATACCTACCTATATAATTATGTAATTACTATATCTCCATAATTTCACACATATATTTTATGTGTGTAATACACATATCAATTATTATTCTACACGGATATATATTCTAAAAAGCAGCCATGATAGATGCCTATAATATATACTTCCGGTATTTGGTATTTGGTATTGCTGTCTTCTGCTATTAAAATAATGTTGCAGTGAATTTTGTATTATTATATAACAAAAAAAAAATAGCATTTTTTCCAAATCACTAGTCTGCTTAGAAAAGTACATTGTAGTTATATAAATAAGTGTTGAGATTCCTGTTGGACTTTCCAGAGGACTGTGTGAAAATTTGCCGTTGCTTTGATTTGCTTTTAGTCAAGATGTTAATTTAAATATATTTAATTTTAAAATCTAACAAATTAATGCATAATATATTAGTTATGTATTAAATAAGGACTGTGAAAGTATAGATTAAGTGATTGCTAAACCTTCTCAGTCTGTTAAAAACATTTTAAAATAATTATTATATTTTTGTGTTCTTTGCCATGTAGTTAATTAGTGCTATTGATAAATCAGTAATATTTTCCCAGAGGGCCCTCCCTGGTGGTGCAGTGGGTTAAAACACAGCACTAAGAAGCTAAAGCCACTTCAGCATGAGTTCGATCCCCACCTGCCTGGAGGTGATCCACATGGCTTGGCAGACCTCCCCTGATCCACCCACTGCTCCCCTCAGCAGTGTACTTAGTCAGTCAGCCTGTTGATCTGCCTGTTCTGCTCCCCATTCTGTCTCTGGTGAAGCCTCACACAGCCCTGCACCTTTGTCCTGTACCCCAGTTCTGTATGCACAAATAAATACATCTTAAAAAAAAAAAGAAAAAAAGAAAAATATTTCCCCAGAAACAGGTCAAACAGTGCTTTAGTGTTCTTTGTTTCCATTTTGTTACTAGCACTAAAATAGCCATAGTTAGTACCCTCCCTTAAAATGCAGAATTTGCTGTAGTGTTTGAATGAAATGAAACAGTATGTGTACAACTACTTTGAAAAATTAAAAGCACTATTCAGAAGCAAGGCATACTAATAATGTTGTGTGTGGTCAGAAAGCTTTCACAACAAACTAGCTTGATGTCCCACTGATTTGAAATGGATAATTCTTCTCAAAGAGATTCATTCATTTACAAAAAATAACATTTACAAAAAGTAAAGATGTTGTACTCACTGGAAACCCATATTACAATGAAAAATTATATAACATGGATTGCAAAGTAGCATTCTGAGCTTTCATTCATAATCTTAAGCATATGATTGCATTTCACAGTTTCCGTTATATTACATATATTCACTAAGGAGAAAATAAGGTGTTTTAAGTGACCATTTGTTGACCCATTATAGTTTGTAAGTTTAACACTTTATAAAATGCCTAAATATTGTCTGAATGATATTGGCATCATCAGGGAGAAATTCTTTAAAAAGTGGACTTGTAGATAATCATTTTGATCTTTTCAACCACCATTTGTAAAAACTGGCAAAGCAGATATCCTAGGAATTATGTGACTAAGATATAACTGTCCACGAATATCAGCTCTTGAGGGTTGAAATAATTCTGAGAAATGTAACTTCCTTTGATTTACAGACAGTATGCCGGCTATGACTACTCGCAGCAAGGTCGATTTGTCCCTCCAGACATGATGCAGCCACAACAACCATACACTGGGCAGATTTTCCAGCCATCTCAGACATACACTTCAGCTGCATCTCAGCCATGCTATGGAAACAGCTTTGAGGATGAGCCACCTCTATTAGAAGGTAGGGTTGGTTGACACATGATAAATTCTCTAAACTTGTCAATGAAAATAAACCTTAACTTTTCTACTGATTATCCATCTTAAATAGAGTATAAGTGAGACAATATTAATTAAATCTTGTCAGTGAAAGTACTGACAGGAAATAGCATAGTATTAATTATTCTACATAGAAATAACCTAACCAGAACTATTGACATTACTGAAAAGGTGGTTTTCAAATTTTATTTCAAAACCCATGAAGCAGTGGTGCTTTTTTTTTTTTTGGTCAGAACCCTTTATAAGTATAATGAAGGCTTTCAGTATTCTTCAAAAATGTACACAAATGCAAACATTGTTTTGACTACTATTTCACCAGTCTTTTCCAATTCCTGACGTCACATAAAGAAACCCTTACTGTAAACTTTGTATGTTCTTGCTGTGTAGTCATAGCTAAGAATGTCTGTTTCATCATAACCAAACCTTTGCCAATACCATATCTGAATTTAGGTATCTGTGGAATAATTTACACAAATAGTGGGGATTAGAATAGAGCACTCACCAAAATAATATCTGGTATGATTAGGTACTCTTTTGGGCACTTAACATTTTTCACCGTTTCAATATAGATTCTGGTAAGCTTGAAAATATGTCACCAGTCCTAGCTGATTTACTACTTTTTTTTTTTTTTCTTCAGAATTAGGTATCAATTTTGACCACATCTGGCAGAAAACACTAACAGTGTTGCATCCATTAAAAGTAGCAGATGGCAGCATTATGAATGAGACTGATTTGGCGGGACCAATGGTTTTTTGCCTTGCATTTGGAGCCACATTGTTACTGGTAAGATTTTAATTTCATGTCTCATTGTGAAATTAAAGAACAATCTTTAATGTTCTACCAGGAACCATTTTTGGAACTAATCTTCTGATAACCTCCAGGTAGTATTAAGTTGCTTAAATATAATATCTCCATTGAAACAAAAGTCATGTGTGATGTCAATCCCTCATCAGAATTCCTTTTTATTTTTCAGAAGTTGACAGAACTCTTTAGTTTGTTGTTAGGTTTTTTTTTTTTTTTTAATCTCTAGTCTCTGGGATAATGTTTTGTGGTAATGGGTCTGGTGATTACTTTCCTATAGTTTTAACTACAATTTATAATAAAATAATATTGTAAAACTTAACATTCTAGTTTTAGTCTACCTGTTACCTTCCTAAGAATGCTTAAGCATATGGAAAATGAAAATCTGAGGGCCTTCCTGGTGGCCTAAAGATTAAGTCTCATCACTATCATGTTTGCAGTCTAAGTTCAATCCTGGGCCAGAGAACTGACCCACATGATGGCAGCAGACCTCTCCTGTCTCACTCTGTTGCTCCTTTCAGCAGTGTATGTCAACTTCTTCGCATCTGACTCTATCTCTGGTTAATACTCTCACCACCACCCCATCCCACACCCCCTACCCCCTGCACCTCTGCTCTACACCCTAGTCCTTTCTATGCAAAAATAAATAAAATCTTAAATGAATAAATCAGTCTAAAAGAAAATGAAAAACTGTCTGATGTTTCTGAGTTGTAAAAGATGACTTGATATGTGGCTAAAAGTAGGATTTTTAGTCAAAAGAATTGTGTATAAGCTCTGTTCTTGAGCAATTTATATAATATATCTACTCCTGCCATTAGATGATAATCCCTTGCTGCTCACCTAACAAGACTGTTTTGGAGATTAAGCAAGGCATGTTATAGGAGAACACTAAGAAGTTTAAGCACTGTACAAGTGTGAGGTTTTATTGTTAGTACATGAACAAGCTCATCATTAACCCAGCTGAGCTTTTTTACACCTCTTCATTCTTAATCAAATATTTTCAAATATCAAGTCTTAACAAAAACCTCAGGGATTTTTTTCACTCACTTGTAGAGGCATTTTTGTGTTTGAGTTTTATTTCTCAAAAATCTGACAAACCTAAGAAGTTTTTGAAGTCTTCTGTGTAAACTGATTTTAGTGTTAATTTAACCTGAATATGATGATTGTTCACATAGATTGACTAAGAGTAATAGGATTCCAATTTAGCTACACTTTGCTGTCCTATTTACAAGAGCGGAATTGTTAAGGTTTTATTTTGGTTGAAGGACTATAAATCAACCAGTAGTTTGGAAAAATAATGAAAGGAGAAAATATCTTCCATTATAGTCTTCTTGCCTGGTTGTTAATCAGTTTTCTTTTCTCTTCCCCTTCCCACAGAACCCTGACTTCTTGCTTATCCTGACCTAGTTCCTCTTTAACACCCATATAAAGTGAGAGATAGTAATTTTTGCTTTTAAAAAAAAATTATGGCTACTTCTGCCACTAGAATAAATTGCCTTGGGGCAATTTTGGTAGAATTAGATGTTTTCAAGTAATGTAGCTATTATACAAATATGCTGAGTGATTTCCCATCTTGTGGCTGTAGTGTTTTGCTTAAAAATCAACAAGATTTCTTCTTAGAAATCTACTGTAGATGATTGCACCGTGATTTTCTATCTTTTTGTTCACTTCTATGCCAAGCATAAGTGTTAACTGGAAAAGAAAAACCAAGTATCTGTGCATTGGGAAGTAGATGCTTGAAAGTTCTTTAGAAATATGTAAGAGTAATTATCTTCTCTGCTTAAAGAGTAACTAGATTTTGATGCTCACAAATTGAATATCTTCTACATGTGCCATTTTAGGTAACATAGGCCAATATATATATATATATATATATATTTTTTTTTGCCTTTTAATCTGTAATCTTTTCTTTATCAATAGGCTGGCAAGATCCAGTTTGGCTATGTATATGGCATCAGTGCAATTGGATGCCTAGGAATGTTTTGTTTATTAAACTTAATGAGTATGACGGGTGTTTCATTTGGTTGTGTGGCCAGTGTCCTTGGATATTGTCTTCTTCCCATGATTCTGCTTTCCAGCTTTGCAGTGATATTTTCTTTACAGTAAGTACTGGTCTTTATTTTGATTGGTCAACTCTGTTTAAGAGCATTTATCTCGCTATCACCTTGAGATGAATCACTGATTTAGTAGACATATTAGATAGTGCTTCTTGTGGGTGGGGACTGTACTAGATACATACTTTTTGATTCTGAGCAGTAGAACTAGGAATAAAATTTTAAATAATTTATGCCATTGCTTCTTTTGCCAGTATTAAAGAACTTCACTAGTTTTTTGTCTACTAACCAGTGTCAGCAAACAAATTCAACAGTGATGAATATTAACCTGTGTGTTATGTGAAAAAGAAAATATTAAAATTATACTCTTGCTGATATTTTCTAGACTGTCTTATTCTTGAAGATGTTGGGCATATTCTAAGTGAAAACGTATACACATACTTAATTTGGCAGATTTTTAATTGAACACAAAGCATATTCTGATTATGGCAAGATACTATTACTAGCCTACCATGTTCTCAGATGTATTTGACTTGTAAGCAATTTTATGTGTGACTTATAAATAATGGTTTAGCTTAGATTAAAAATATAAATTGTTGCTGACAAAGTTCTTCCTCATGCCCAGTGTACAGATGTCTCTCAGCGGTTTAGGCTCCTTCTTGTGGCTAATGCTAGATATAATCAGGCTTTGTTATGTTTTCTTATTAGTTATGACAGAGATATAGAAGAGCATATATCAACTCTGTGATACTAGGGATTGGGCAAAACAACTTCACTGTGCTTTTTTTTTGGATAAAACTTTTTAATGTTTTTATGCTTTTCTTTTGTTGAGAATTGATAAAATTTGGGTTGTACAGAAAATATTTTATGCTAAACAGTGTTTTACAACCAGGGACAAATGTCCCAGGGGACATTTGGCAATGTCAAGATAATTTTGTCACAAGTGTGATTGGCAGGGATGCTACTGCTGGTGTCTGTTGGATAGAGACCAGGATGTTGCTGAACTTTTTCACAAAGCATATATAGTCGTCCACAACAGAGTTATATTTGAGGAGTGCCAGGGTTGGGAAACTGTGCTAAAAAGAACAATCTATAGTTATAAAGGAGATTTTATAACATGAAATAATTCAGCAGCATGAAATGTATTGAGAGGTACATTCTCAAACATTCAAAAAATTATTTCTGCAGAAGTAATTTGAATTTAACATGCTTTTGTTTAGAATTGATTACTGTATTCTTACATACTAATCTCACCTACTACCTTTTTTCCCCTCCCCATTTTTCCTTGTTGGTTTCAGAGGAATGGTAGGAGTCATTCTCACTGCTGGAATTATTGGATGGTGTAGTTTTTCTGCTTCCAAAATTTTTATTTCTGCACTAGCCATGGAAGGACAGCAACTTCTAGTAGCGTATCCTTGTGCTCTGTTATATGGAGTCTTTGCCCTAATTTCCGTCTTTTGAACTGAATTTATCTGGGATATGGACATCGTTGGGCCAAATACACAAAAAGGACTTTGAACATTTGAATCGGACCAGCAAACTGCTGTTGCAAAATTCTCGTGCAGTTCTAATGTTTGACTGTTGGAGCAGTGGAAATAAACATGCATCTTTTGTTCATTTTTATAGAACTTTTGAATACTACTTACTGGATTTATCTGCAGTGAGACTAGCTTTAAGTGTTTGTGTGTATACAAATAAGTGCTATCTCCTTCCTGTTCCTGCAATCTTTGAAAAACAACTTTTTCCTTACAAATTATATGTTTTTTGATAGATTTTTATCAACTGTGGGAATCAAACCTCAGAGCTGATAATCTTTCTTAAATAAAAACAACCCAGTCATAGTAAAGAAGACACAAAACTTACTGCAGAAATATTTTTCCAAAGAATTAGGAAAGAAAAATTGCTGTATTCTCAAGTCAGATACACTTGAAACAAAACGAAAAAAAAGATGAGTTCAGATTTTAAAAAATAGGACATTTCTTTAAATTGTTTCACAGCACTTTTGCTAAAATTTGGCAATAAAGTTGTGGACCCTCATTAGATAATAGCAGTAACTGTACTGTAATGACCCAGATTGGCCATATTTAACGCTCAGAGTTGACTCACCATATTTCCCAGGAAAATAAATCACTAACCTTTTTTGAAAAAAATATTTAAAATGTCACACTTTCAGTATTGCAGTTATCAAGTAATGTACATTTGATGCTTATTAAAAATTTCCCAATTAAATTGTGTTGTTGCGTTTACTTTTGCTAAATGACTGCTGTCTCCCTTTTTTATTTAACTAAAATAACATTGCATGATACCATTCTGTGAATTTGAGGTGTGCGTCATTAATGATCACACATGCGTACTACATTAAGTTCATCACTCAAAGTCCAATTCTATCACTACTCGGTTGACCTCTTTTACTGGATTTATTCAACTGTCTTCTCTCTTCCCTTTTGGTAACCTCTAGTTAGTCTTAAGAGTTTTTGTTGTTGTATTTAGTTCAGTTGTTTGTATGGTTACTCCATATATCACATATGAGTGAAGTTATACAGCATTGTCTTTCTCTGATTTCTTTCTCTAAAGCATGATACCCTCTTGGCCCCACTAATTGTTGCAAATAGCAATAATTCAACTTTTTAAATAACTGAGTGGTATTCCATTGTGTATAAATACACCACAACCTGATGCAGTCATCTGTTCATGGGCAAATTCAATTGTTTCTAGATCTTGGCTATTAGAAACAACACTGTAGTAAGCATGGTGGTGCATATATCTCTTTGAAGTGTTGTTTCTGGGTGTTTGGGATAAGCATCCAGAAGTGGGTAAGTAATTCATATGGAATTTCTAATTTTAATTTTTGGAGGACTCTTCATACTCCTTTACATTATGTCTATACCAGTTTATTTTCCTTCCCACAGTGTATAAGGGTTTCCTTATCCACATCCTCTGGAACCCTCCTTGCTGGTCTTTTGGGTAATAGTCATTCTCATAATCATTGTGTTGAGGGTGTTTTAATTTGCATTTCCTTTATCAGAGGTGATGAGCATCCTCTCATCTATTGGCCATCTGTTTGTCTTTAGAGAAGTATCTCTTCACATTCCTGGCCCATTTTTTTTTTTCTAGTCAGGTTTATGAGCTTATATATCATAAACACAAAGAACCCTTGTCAGACATAAGATATGCAAATACCTTCCCCAAGCAGTAGGATATATCTTCATTTTGATGATAGTTTTTCTTTCAAGAATAGAAGCTTTTTAGTATTCTTTAGGATTTGACTTTGACTTTTATTTCCAGTTTCTCCTAAGCTTTAAGAACAGTACCGATCTAATGTAGAATAAGAAAAAGAAAAAAAAAATATATGAAAAGCAGTTTATATTGAGTTACATTATTTCTTGTATTATTGTTTATTTGGTTTATATTGTCATGCTTTCTTGCTAAAAGCTTTATAAGAAGATACTGTATCTTGTATTATTTTATTCTGAAGTAACTGACTAGACAAAACTCGGTTAAAATTATGAGAAAGATGCTAAATAGAAAACTATCTTTTCAAAAAGAGACTTTCAGACTGAATAAAAAATGCTAAGCTGATAGCATGTTTCTTATAGATGATTTCTAGTGCTAATAAGTTAACAAAATATTTCTTAAAAGATTATGATTTCTGGGGCTCTCCCTGGTGGTGCAACAGGTTAAAGCTCCACGTTATGAAGTTATCCAAAGCCATGCAGCATGAGTTCCATCCCGGAACAGGGAGTTGACCCACATGGCAAGGCAGACCTCTTCTAACTTGCCGGCTGCTCCCTTCAGCAGTGTACTTTGTCAGTCTGCCTGTTCTGCTCCCACTCTGGTGAATCCTCTCACTCACTACACCTCTGGCCTGTACCCAGTTCTAGAAGCATAAATAAATCTTTAAAAAAAACATTATGATTTCTAACTCTCACAAATATGTTTTTTTTTTCATTTTTATTAATATGTACTCACTAATAGTTTTTGACTTGTTTTTCATACTTCTCCAAAATAGCATTTTTATTGTAATCCTGAGTAGGTTCTTTTTTGCCTTTTTAGTTCATTTTGTAAGTACAGAGCTTGTTATAGAAAATGTAATGGTGTCTGTTAATACCTAGTTCTTAATGCATAGGATAGGCACTGCTTTGGAAATTAAACCCTCGCTGTTGATTAAATGACAGCTAAATTTCCCAGTATCAGATTTTCTTATTTATTGTCCTACCCCTCCCAACTTCCAGGTAATTTAAATTAATGTCATAAAAAATTTTGTCATTGGTGGTCTTTAACTCTAAAACAATTAAATGCAAAGCTTTTAAGATTTGTTTGTGCTTACAGAACTGGGGTACAGGCCATAGGTGCAGGGGCAGTGAGAGGATTCGTCAGAGACAGAGTGGGGAACAGAACAGGCAGATTGACAAAGTACACTGCTGAGGGGAGCAGCAGGTGGGTCAGCAGAGGTCTGCCACACCATGTGGGTCAGCTCCCTGGCCTAGCCAGGATGGAAATTGTGCTGCAGTCACTTCTGAGAGCTTCATAATGCAGTGCTTTAACTCACTGCACCATCAGGGAAAGTCCAGATGCAAAGCTTTATCTTTAAGTGTTACATACACTTAAATGTAACAGCTGTATAGGGAAGTTGTATTTGATGCAAGAGTTTAGATTCCCTAATTACATGAGTCATGTATAATAAAAATATCCCTTATTTTACTTTAAGAACTGATACATTGTCTCAAAAAATACCACTTCTTAACTTTTTTCTCAAGCACTGCAATAGATTTCTGTTTCTTCCGTTAAGTGCAAGGTAGAGCATCCTGTTCACTTTTAGGTCCCATTTTACCAAAAATACACATGATCCTCACACTAAAGACACTGTCAACATAAAACCTCTAAATGCAATTGAGTAACGAGAGGAGTTTGCAGTTTCACTCATTTATGCTCATGTTATTTATGTTTGTATGCCAAGGGCACAAGTTTAATTTTACATAAGCTGTAAATGTATATTTTATGACTTTGTTGTAATGCCATGTTTATCTATGGGTGTTCACAAAAGCTATATAATTAGGTTTGCAGAAATTCTTGGTCCAGATACAGTTGTGTAGATAATGCAAAATTCTATACATCTTAAAGTAGTCTCTTCATATTGGTTATACCATCAAAGAGAATTTTTAAGAATGTGTCTGGTGGTATGATTTGGGGTAGAACTTAAGTATTGTGCATTTAACATTTTGCAAGTATGTATTTTTAACCTTAATAGGAATTGTTCAGCTCAAATATACTTCAAGGCCAAGTAAGGGCAATTGTCTCTAAAATTAAAATTATGCAATTATGTTTGCAATACTCATTACCTACAAAAAAGGAGTCTTTGTGCAATTAGGTACTTTTTTGCATATAAAAAGGATTAGAACTTTGGACAAAAAAGGAACTAGAGAAACTAGAATCCTATACTGTAGGATACTCTGGCCTACTCAGAGAATTGTGGCAAGATGAGTTCACATTTGGAGATTGCCTGTTGATATTTTTTAACTTGCCCTAGCGGAGAAAAAAAATGACTTAAGGGTTTAGCCTTTCATAAAGCATCGTGGAAAGTTTTGCAAGGCCTGGTACATACCATAGGGTGACTATTAGTTATTAAACAAAAGCACTGGGTTTTCTTCAAAAAGCTAGCTACAGTGCTAGCTCCAAATTAAATCTACCCTCACAAACTACCCATTGGTTCACTTTTTTTTTTTTTTTTTAAAGATTTATTTATTTGTGCATACAGAACTGGGGTACAGGCCAGAGGCTCAGGGGCAATGAGAGGCATCACCAGAGACAGAGGGGGGAACAGAACAGGCAGATCGACATAGTACACTGCTGAGGGGAGCAGCCGGCAGGTCAGGAGAGGTCTGCCATGCCATGTGGTCACCTCCAGAGCAGGGAGGAATCGAACTCATGCAGCAGTGGCTTTAGCTTCTCAGTGCTGTGCTTTAATCTGCTGTGCCACCAGGGAGGGTCTGATTCACTTTGTAATGTCAAATTCCATCTATGGCTTACCAAATAATCTCTTTTTATAAATTCCAGTTTATTTTGGATATGAAACCTTAAATTATTTCTCAAGCAATTTATTTTTACTATAATGATATACTTGCTTCAAAACGTGGACTTCAAGAAGGAAACATTTAGAATCAGGTAAAACAAGTATCTTTTCAAAGACCCAGTAGTTAATGAATTTCTGTTTTCTGCTAATGATGTATATAAGAACTGAGAAAAGGAGTCACAATGGAGAGCTTTATTAGAATAAGTTAAGAATTGGTTCATATGCTTTAATAAATAGAAAAAATTAGCTGTCATTAGCTTTTCAGTCGTAGTGTTGGCTTTCAGACACCCTGAATAAGGTCTATCCTCATCACTCTGCAATGTAAACGATAATGTCACCAATGAAAAAAATAATTGGTTTTTAATTACTGCCACCATCCAAATTATTAGAATTTACTAAGTTACTTTGTCCAATAATAATTAAATACCCATGTAATAAACTGGAGGCCTCAGAGAACTGTGTCGAAAGCATTCTATATTATCATTAACAGGTGTATATCTCAGAATAGTGACCATAAACCTGAAGAATGAATCTGGTGGTGTGCACTTCTGATTTTGCATTACAGATGGGAATATTTCTACTCTTGTGCATAAAGTTCCTACTCTAGTTAATGAAGAACATTATCTGCTGATGGAGCACAGTGTCCTGTGTTTGTGCAAATAAATTAAAATGATTACATACTCAAATGAGGTCTAATTAAATACAGAGCTGTCTTCCTAATTTAAAAGCACAAATACTTTCTTGAGCACATTAGGTACTAAAAATCGGATATTACAATTTTTATGTGATCTTTACTAATTAAGTTTACCTTGCATATATAAATTTGGCTTATTTCTGAAACTACCACTAACTGTTGATAGCTTGCAGTGATTAATTATGCATTAAGGTGTTTTAAATATTTTTCAACACAGCACAAAAAGTGTAAGGAAAATGAGAAAACAAAGTATTCACTAGAAACATTTAAGATGCTTGTAAATTATAATTTTCCCAGCCTACTTGACAGACTCATTGTCCTACATGTAGAGAAAGTGATAGCTGTTATTTCCCAGTTAAAACATGTCCAAAAGAATATTTTTGTGAAATTGACACACTTGCTTGTAGTTTTCATTGTTGTGATCTTTGATAATTAATTGAAGGATGAGTGTTCTTTACG